TTAGCTTAATAAATTACAGTGACATCATTGATAATTAGAAATTGTTATCAAAAACGAGTACTTCTTCCCCGGGCTTGAATAAGAGCTCTCCTCTCCTCCTCTCTCATCCTCTCTGGCCTAGATTCAATTAAACTAGCTATTGTGTCTTGGGTTATTTGTTCCCACTCGTTTACCAGCGCCTGTTCCAACGCAGCCACAGTTTGAAATTATAAGTGGTTCTGCCTAAGCCTTCGTCCTAATGTATCCCACATGTGCTCAATGGGGTTGAGATCCAGACTCCTCGGCGGCCAGTCTAGTACTTGAATCCCAACATCGTTGAGGTATTGCCTACTATATAGATAGGTTTCCTTCTCTCAACCTTCGGCGTACAGTATCAGGTGGAACTATGGTACCATGAACATCATCCAGTCTTGGAGTCAAAGTTCTAACAGGAACTGTCCCTCCTCGAAGAGCTTGAAATCGACTTCACCTGCGTTTGTTGCTTTCCGTCTTCCCTGCCCAGGACTATTTGAGTAGGAACCAGTTTCCCTAAGTCTTTATATCGCATCGAATGCCGTACTGCGTGGATCGGCAAGCCTTTCTGCGATATACCGGATAGGACGACCATCATCTTGTAAAGCTACAACTTGCGCTACTTGTTCCGGTGTCATTTTTGTTTGCTTGACAAGAATCTTTTTTGCATGCCATAAAAATGCTGACAGACACAGCCTACTCGAGAAAAGTTCTCACCCGGCAAAGCCTGCTTGAAACGATTTCTTGTTTATGCCTATGATTCACAAGATTTTCTTCAAAACTGCATATATTCTTCAATAATTGGGACATTGACATGAATTAAAAAAAACTGTTGAGGCTTAAAATTCTCGTACCAACACACATTATTCAGTAATCCAATGTTTCCACATGGTGTTCAGAAGTTTAGGGCAAAATGCACCTTTTAGTAACAACAAAAATTAACGAAATTGATACAAAGGTTAAAAGGTTTAAAAATTATTTGAACAAAATTTTGTTTGTCCGGTTAATTTTGCTTGGCAGTGAATATATATTAGTTAGTATTAGAAAAAAGTGGTGCTTGTAACCTTTTGAAAATCTTTAGAACGACTGTAAGGTCGTTCGCCTATAAATCGTATTTTTCCCGTGTTCCCTGCTTAAAAATGAAGCGATTTACAGGAACAATGGTATTCTAGATTGAAAAATAAAAATTGAGATTAAAATACCTTTATTTTTCGAATATTGACAAATGAGGCGTTGTCGAGTTCAGAATGTCATTCTCGATCGGAATAAGTAAAACTATATACGGTGTACCATTTAAAAATCGAAAGTAGGGGTCGTTTCCGGTCAAACCGGCTGTATGGCAACGCAAGTGAATATGTCAATAATTGTAAATTAATCTGTAATATTTCGTTTTTCTATCTTCCATAATAAACGAGTTATAGAGGTGAGACACCTTGGAGGATCATCCGGTATATTGGAAATGTGTCTGCCCAGTTCCGCCATCTGAAAAGCATTGTTGTTGTTGTGATGCACCAAGCAACGAGACTAGAGTGAAATAATTTGAAAGTAAATCAAAGTAAATCTGCATATCTGCATGTACCTTTTCGACTGAGAACAAAATGAGTTCGTATTGTGATGAAATAGAAAGCATTTTATGTAAATATCTGAGTGTCAATTTTGGACCGAGTCCGGTTATCTCACTCATGAAATAAGCTTCAGTTTCATCACGTTTCTTCTTTAAATTTAGGCACGATACTTCCTTATCGTTACAAGAACCCCACACATTATTTTTTCGATTCCAATACCTTTGCTTTTATTGGAGATTCTTCTTGGACCTCTGCCTTCGCATGTTTCTATTTTTGTCACATTAGAACAGATGACCGTTGCTCCATTTACAGTAGGATATATACCCTAAAACCTTTTTTAGGATGTATTTCAGGAAGGGTGAAACGCAGCGTTAAGCAATCGACAAGTTGTTTCTACAATGCATGTCCAAAACTATAAATTCTGCACACTTCACCCATTTGCCTATCAGAAAAACATTGTTATACAGGTTGGCCAATTAGTTCATGGATATATAAGTATTGCATAATCTGCAACTCATTCTGTGGTTGTCCCGCTTATGAATCTCTATGTTTCGTCGGTTGCCAAATAAAACCACACGTGCAGAATAGACGAATTTAAGAACGTTTAATATATGCCTCATTGTTATTTGAAAATGGCTATCGAGGTGGCCGAAACGTTAATGCAATAATTCTGCATCTGTGATTTCATTTGGCGGCCAACAAAACATGGAAATGAATAAATATTACGAGAATTAAAATTTTTGCAGCTTTCTCCCATCAAGTTTTCGTATTTTTGAACATGAAGATTGAAGTATCGCAATGATCCAGGAGTGGATGTGAGTGGAAGTATGGTTTTGGTTACATTTCAGTTATTGCTCAATCAGCCATCTTTTTGCAATGAACTCACTCTAATAAATCTCTGTTTTCAAACGTTCATCTAAAAACGCCGACAAATGGCGAGCTTTTGATTGATGTGTTTATAATTTCTCTATTTCCCAATACCTAAACATCCGTTAGAATGACAAATCAGAAACTGCTGCTGGCGCTCGTTGCTGATAGTTTGAAAATAATAGCCACTTAACTTTTTGCAGATGCTTTTAGATGATTAAGGTATAACGGGATATTAGCTTCTGCTTACTTGCATTGTTTCAATAAAATCCTGTATTTTCTTCCAAAGTATTTGTTTCCATTGAGGTTACTCGTGATAGTAATTTAGTTGTTTTCTCAAAAGCTAGCAGTAATAATTTCGTAGATTCACTGTATTTCCATTTGTGTTGGCGGATTGCTTCAATATTTGGTCAAGTGCCGTTTGATCTTGATCTTGTATAGTAAAACACGCAAAACGCTTTATTTTTTTTGGAAACGAGAAAAACAAACTGGAAGAAGCAACATTTTCAATTAGGAGTTTCGAAATATACGGAGTTATATCTTTCAGCAATTGTTTACACAATAAATTGCCAATATGTTTGAATGATTTCACTGCTTACCCAAAATCAATTCCTAATGGATCCTCGAAGAAAATGTAAACGCAGATCCGGAAGGTTTAAGCAACTGATCGGTCAATCTATAGATATCCCGTTCGGGAACTTTTATTCAAATACGTTAAATGCTCTGTCAACAATAAAACTTTTCTGGAAGGAATAATGTTAACTAGGCGTAATGTAATTTCTGGCAATGCATCCACAGAAAGGCTAACTAAATTTTACATATATTTACAGATTATCCCATTGGAGCTGTCCCTGACCGGTAGGAGTATTTTTTCTTTGACATTATGCTTAATACTTTCTTTGAAACGAAGCAGTTACATCATATTTAGTAAATTCTAATGTCAACCTTAATGCAAAGTAGATCCTAAATTGGTACGTGAAGTTTGAATTTCCCGAGTACATTTATGTTGGTAACCGTTTTCTGTGTTGTTACATTGTCGCAAAGCTTCTCAGATAATTACGCCAACGGCTGTTGTTTATTTGTGGTTTATTTCCTAGGATCTAGTAGTTTTAAGTAATGTGGCAACCATGTGCTTTACTGTCATTATTTGACGTTGTGACGTAACTGCTTTGACTCAGTGAATACATTGTAGGTTTGTTATGATATTATGTAGATTTCATGCTCACTTGTAGCAAGCTCGGAACTTTGCTAACTGACCTTCTTAGTCAACAGTCAACAGGGTGGTGTTTTATTGTTTTATTTTTTTTACATTATACAGGGTGGCGCTTCGAAAATGAAACAGACGCATTTACTGGTAGCTTAGTTTTTTTTTTTGAAAAACGCTCAGAACCCTAAGCGGGGTGACACCACCCCCAAAATGTTAAATGGAAAGGGGGGTCGCGTGATACCTTATTTTAAAGGTATTTCAATTCCCTTTATAATGATGTAAAATACATGAGCTTCAGTTCAGTAGTTTTGAAGATTTATTGACTTAAAGCTTAAAGTAGTCTTTAATAGGTACATCAGACTAGTTTGTACTACTTTCAGAAGAAATTTGACTAAAAGAATTTACTTAATAACTAAATGCTTTTCTTCACTGCTCTCCATTTAAGATTTTAGGCTTGGTGTCACCCCCGCTCAGGGGACTGCCCTTGTTAACGTGATTTTTTGCCAAACTTGTGTCCACCTCGAAAACAAAATCGACGGGTCTGAGCGTTTTTCCAAAAAAAAACTGAGCTGCCAGTAAATGCCTCTGTTTCGTTTTCGATGCGCCACCCTGTATACTGTATGACTATATACTTAGTGAGGTTAAATTCTTCAATTTTTTTTGGCAACATAGCGACTATATTTGTAGCATGCTGTGACTGCAATACCTTTGCTTTTGTTTACCTTTGTTAAAATGTTATCTCTTAGTTTTTGTGAAGAAAGCAGCTTCTGAGAGCTGAGTAATACATATATTTTTAGTCATTGCCCACTTATTTACTAGTGTTTAACTTAAAAAATGCCTCGACTTCAAAGGCCTCCAATTTATCACCATGTTAGCGGCTTTGACAGGGGTGGAATTATTGCCTATCAAGATGTTGATTTGTCCTACCGCGAAACTGGCCGCCGTGTTCATTGTACTGCAATGGCGGTAATGCGTGTGTGTCGTGTGTGGATAGAAGAACGAAATATGCCAACAGGTCCACCGAGGCGTACCACAGAACGTCAAGGTAGGCGCTTTTCTACGATACCGTTTTGCTACTGCGCGTCAGATCGCTGATCAATGCTTTGGACTTTTTTCATACGGTCCGCGGTTAGGGCTTCCTCTGACTGCGGACCACTATCATCAACGTTTGAACTAGCACAGAAAACGACAACATGGGGAGGCAGAATGCCATAATGTCATCTTCAGCGACGAATCGCGATTCAAAACATCAAGTTGAAGAAATATTTTTTTCCTCGCATTCTATCTTAATTGATTCATCCATTCATGTTTCAAGAAATCCTCATGTCTTGCCTTTTGTATGCACTTACCTGAAAAAACAAGCAGAAGCACACCCACTGATAATACCGATACACCTTCTTCTCCTTCTCGTCGTGCGTCGTCCTTATCCCAGGATTCCCGGGCAGGTACATCTTGGCGTAAGGTTCCTGCTTGTTCGTGGACACCGTGAACGTCGAGTGGATCCAGCAGAAGGTGTTGAACACGTCCTCGGGAATCTCCTTGGTGTGGATGCAATCAATCGGGTTCCCGACGTACTGTCTCGTGGTGACGATGAGACTGAAGGCGATGAGGATCGAGACGGTGATCGAATGGTGCAGTCGGAAGACTGGCGAGTCGATGTGGATGTGACTGACGCGGACGAGCGATTTGAGGCCGCGGAAAATGTCCAACATTTTACCATCACTTCCGCATCGTCGGCACTAGTTCGTTTTAAGTCATTGTTCGTTGGTCGCGGATCGTCGTAGGTCACTAACATTTAGTGTTCGAAAGGTCGCTAAGTTGAGATGTAACTATACGTTTGCATTGTTAGGTCATTCTGGAATGAAACGTTGCTGCAGCTAAGCACGAAAAATGGAAGAGAGAGGTGACCCATTATATGTCACTGCTAGCGACTATTAAGTATGCATTGCATGGATCTCGCTACAAGGGTGTCCCAAGAAATGAAAGTTACTCTCCTGTCAAAACAATTGTAAATAAAGCTTTATGTATCTAGAGCATCGATTCCCAAAGTGGTCTATATCGACCCCTAGGGGTCTATGACAACCTGCAAGGGGTCTACGTCAGCGAAAAAAAATTTGGGAGCCCATGAAATGAATATGGGGGTCCACGATAGTGGATCTCAACACATACACTGATAGTACCTATTTACTTACATCATACTATCTTATAATATCAAAACATATACATTATTTATAAAAGTACCTAAACATTTATTATATATGTTCATAAAATTGTGTAAGTTGTAGGATGTTGGTATTCGCTTTGTGGTCGCAATACATTTTGAACTTGTAAAAACCTGAGAGTCGCAGTCTCAGAGCTTCGCTACCTTTCACTGACTTGTTCAATTCGTCACTCTATAAATACGTCTTATTTAAATAATTTAATTTTGCACACAGATGACTGATGCCATTTCCGAATCTAAAAAGAAATGTAGACAGTACAGTGTTGATTATTTGCAATTTGGCTTCATTCCATCATTGCCGGACAAACGATCGCCTATGTGCCTTTTGTGCAACAAAGTTTTGGACAATGACGCTATGAAACAATCTAAACTGCAAGATCATCTGAGAAGATGCCACCCTGATAAAACAGAGAAAGATTTGAAATACTTTCAAACACTCAAAGATAAATTTCAGAAGAGACCTACACTGGACAGAATGTTCGCTTCGACGTCACAAAGAAATGATGATGGCTTGCGGGCGTCTTACAATATCTCGTTATTTATAGCAAAATCCGGAAAACCGCATACTATCGGAGAGAAGTTAATTTTGCCAGCCGTTGAAGAGGTTTTAAAAACTGTTTTACACAAACCTGCATCTGATATCATTAAAAGATTTCCCTTAAGCAACAATACTGTTGAAAGACGTATTGATGAAATGAGTTCTGATATTGAAAGCTTCTTATGTAATTATTTGCAAACGACCCATTTCTCTATACAACTGGACGAGTCAACCTTACCTGATAATGCAGCATTATTATTGGCATATGTTCGTTTTATCATGAATCAAGAAATCTACGACGAACTGCTCTTCGCAAGAACTTTGATAACCGACACTAAAGGTGAATCAATATTTCATGTTTTGAGAGGATTACTTCATTGAAAAAGCAATTCCTTTATCAAATATAATATCAGTAGTTACAGATGGAGCACCTGCCATGATTGGACGTTATCGTGGATTTATAAGCTATTTAAAACAAAATGTGCCAGGGGTGTTAGCAATACATTGCGTCATCCATCGACAACATTTAGTTGCTAAAAATTTGAGTGTTAGGTTGCATGAATCACTTCATTTAGTCATTGATGCAGTAAACCGAATCCAAAGCAACGCGTTGAATACGCGGTTATTTGCGCAGTTGTGTGAAGAAAATGACGAACACTTTCATCAATTACTCCTTCACACTGAAGTACGCTGGCTGTCGAAAGACTTATGTTTGACAAGATTTTTTGCACTTTTTGAGACTATTTTAGAATTTCTGGAAACTAAAGATAAAATTTTAAAAGAAAATTTAATCAAGAGGAAAACAGACATCGCCTATTTAACAGATCTGTTTACAAAATTTAATATGGTTAATTTGCCAGAGTTAAACTAATGAAGCCAAATTTTGGACGGGGCTAATTTTCTCAGTTCCCCAATTTGTCACAGACAAGCTGCCAGGAAGACGACGTTTCAACTTACGTTCAACATTTAAATGCCCTCTATTCAGATTTTGAATTTTGAATTTGAGGATATTTTGACTATGGTAATACCACCGTGGATAATTGATCCATATGGTGACATAGAGGAAACGAATGTCATAATACAAGAGAAGCTGACTGAACTAAGTACAAACGAAGAACTTAAGGTTCAGTTTAAAAACGGATATCAGCAATTCTGGCTGCAAAACAACATACCCGTTACTTATCCCGTATTATGGAATATAGCGAGGCAATTTTTAATTTCCTTTCCATCGTCATACCTAGTGTAAAGGGGGTTCAGCGCTGTTACCAATCTCCTAACGAAAAAAAGAAACACACTGGGCATCATTAGCCGAGGAGGTTTAAGATTAACCCTTACAAAATTGACGCCAAATGTTGATAATTTATTATTAAATCATCAGGTTCATTATTTTATTTATAGTTTATTATTATTATTATAATATTTATAGTTTATTTTATGTTTATTGGTGTCTGACCAATAAATGCCCGCATTGATTTATTTAAAGAACTCCCCTTTATAGAAAATATTTTTTTTAAATTATTCTGAAAATTCAAGGATAGGTAAACACTAAAATTCGTTAATTATTTGCCTATTTTTAGATAACTTAAACGTATAAGAAGCGGAATTTAATCTCAGTAACAGTGAAATTATTGTAGAACATAGTTTTATGTTATAATTAATAAGCGAACTCGCTTATTGTACTATTTTAAGTAAAAAACTTTTTTTTTATTAGTTTTCACTTTTTTTTTATTTTATCCCTCTTATTTTTTTTTCAATGCGGACACTTATTCCCAATGCGGGCACTTATTGGTCAGACACCTGTTTATTTAATGTTACGTATATTTTGCATAACAGATACAAAATTTCATTTTGAGTAGTTTTAATTTAAATTCAATTAATAAATGTATAAATTAACATGTGTTTTTACTTTAAGGTTTTAACACTAAACTTCACTACAGTTAGAAATTTACAGGAAATCAATATCAGGTAAGTAGGGGGTCTACCCAACACGGAAAAACATGGCAAGGGGTTTACGACGCAAAAAAGTTTGGGGAACTCTGATCTAGAGTAAGGGCAACCCGTGCCGAGTTGCATTGGAACGTGTCAGAACCTGCATACCGGGCGCGCGCTAGTCAACGTATTGCAGTGCTCGTTTGTTCTGTAAGTAAACGCACTGTTTTCGTTCAGTTAACATGTCAAAGGAATTACGCAGTTCTAAAAGGGAATATTTTCAACTGGACCCGTAAAGCATCAAATAACCGGTTTAAAACTTCCCTCTAATGGACAAGTACTAGCAGTTTTGTTCTATAATATCCGGGAAGTGAAATTGAGTGTTAATGATAGTGTCAAGCTTACTATTCGTGAGTGCATTAACCTCCAGAATGTTTTGTCACATTTTTTTTTGGCGACGTAACCTATACTAAGTGACATATAAATCCGAACACCCAGTTTAAATGGTTTTATTTTAATAAAACTTGATGAATGTATTTATCTTACTGTAAATAACAAGTGAAAAAATTTTCAGCCTTATCAGTTGGACATTCCGGTTTTTATACTGCTTTTTTTAATTCACTAATGCTCTAAAAATGAATATTTCAGCCGCAGTAAAGAATCAACGTTGGCGGATTTTGGTTCTTGACATCCTTTATGATCGGTTACGATGCCCAGAGTACGGAGACCTGGACGATTTCGTCAACTTAGTGAGTTTGATATGGGCCGTATAGTGGGACTTCGGGAAGCTGGACTTTCTTTTCGGGCAATTGCAGTTAGAGTGCAAAGAAGTGTAGACACTGTGGTTAGGTGTTGTCAGGCATGGCTTCGAGAAGGCCGTACGCAAAGAGCAAGGGGCACTGGACGCCGCCGTAGAACAACAGACCGTGAAGATCGCCGCCTAAGATTATTGGCCTTAAGGGACCGTTTCTCCACTACCAGGTCCATTGCAAACGAATGGTTTGCAGAACACTGGGTCCTCCCTTTAACTCGAGAACACCGACGTAATTGCCTTGAGTGGTGCAGACAACGGTCACTCTGGGATCAGGAATGGAACAGTATTGTCTTTAGTGACGAGTCTCGATTTTGTTCAGGCATGCACGATAGTCGTGCCAGTGTTAGAAGGCAACGTGGTGAAAGGAGGAATCCACAGTTTTTTGTTGAAAGACATGTTCATCACACTGTTGGAGTTATGATTTGGGGTGCTATAGCTTATGGTTCCAGGTCACCTTTAATCTTCATCAGAGGTAACATGAACGCGCAGCGCTATATCCACAAGTTCTAGAACCCCATCTTTTACCTTATCTTGACACCCTGGCAGATCCAACTTTCCAACCAGATAATGCCCGACCACATGTGCAAGAGTCACAATAGACTTCTTTCAACATAATGATGTCACATTGTTACCATGGCCACCAAGATCTCCCGACCTATCCCCAATTGAGCACGTGTGGGATATGATGGGTAGGAGATTGCTCAATTTGCAACGTCCTCCTCAGACTCTAGAAGCACTTCGAGAGGAGTTGGTGGTTGCCTGGAATGAGATATCACAGGAGGACATTGATCACCTGATCAGAAGCATGCCTAGGCGCGTTGGAGAATGCGTAGCACATCAGAGTGCATCCACAAATTATTAAAGGTCAAAGGGCTTTAAAGCAGTGCAATCATTTTGAAATTTTTATCATTTACTTATTATGCTTCATTAAGTACTTATACAAAGTTTTAGTAAAATAAAACCATTTAAACTGCGTGTTCGGATTTATATGTCACTTAGTATATATAGCCACAAAATGATTCTTTTCAAAACGCTAAGGCTAAGCTGCAAGTCCTGAGAGCAGCTAACGATACGGAAGAAAGAGCAGTCAAGTAAATGCAAGACTTTCATAGCTTTATCGATGCTAATGAGGAACAAAAACAATTTCTATTACTTTACATACAAGAACACAGGCAGGTATATCCTGACTGTAAAAAAAAATAGTGTTTTTTGAACGATAGATATCTAAGGAATATAAGATACAAATAAACCAGTGCTTTATTTGTCGAATAACAAATATGTAAGTTTTGGAATTCATTCAAGGTTTCCCTATTAACTAATATTCAAAGTACATATGACCCAAAGTCATCGTTCCCCGATCGCAACAATATTTATTGTTCGAGTTGTCAGAGTCGGAAAGAAAAAATTCGAACAAAAATTTCTTCTCCCTCATAGGCTGGGTCATCCTACTCGCCTTGCACAGGGATAGCACCCAAACCAGTTGCATACAATGTGTATCTCTACTCTCTTCCACCTTTATAGTAGACTAGACAGTTAGGCACTTTAAACACTATATGGCGGGTGGCACAAGATTGAGCCAGTTTTACAAACTAAAGCAACCGCGAAGACAAATCATAATTACGAAAGTTCAACTTTGAACAGGTTAAAGAACCTCATCAAGTAAGATATGTAGTTGGAGCAGCAGCTCTTTAGACGTGTGAACAGTACTGCCAGGTACCTCTAGTGAAGAGATTATTTACGAACAATTTTGTCAGATAGACAACCCGGAGGCAAGAAGTGGATAATGATAAGATATAACTGGGGTCCACCAATCAGTTTGTTGAAAAAAAAGATACGAAGTATATAGCAGTTGTGGTACAGATAAGGAGCAAGTTATTAAGCAGCAAGAAGAGTGGGATGTCTTCGAGTTTTATGATCTTCTGTAGATGCTAGCACATCGAAGATGGTTGCTGGAAATCAATATCAGCATAATTAAACGTCGCTTGAATTAAACAGGAGCTGTGAGTTAATCAACAGACATGCGTTCTCACGTATGAGAGGTATCCTCAGACGGATGATGTACCACAGGCAGGCAGTACTACTTTTTGTAACTCTGGGACTAGAAGAGGTGAAATCGGAAGGGTTTTCTTTCATGTCTATGTACTTCTACTGAAAGGACTGATCTTGGAAATGTGGACAGAGCAGGCAGCCGAACCAGTATCATGTATTAAACATACACTTTCTCATCAGTTCAATCGTTTTAACACATTGTTTCCTGGCTAGCTGCGAAATCCTAGCGAATCAAGTCTGACCCCAAATCCAAGCAAGACTCCAGTTATTTGGTGAACATGCTCAAGATTAATGAATAGCCGCTATTACTCTTATTCATCGTTTAAAAATATCTTATAAACCTGTCAGAACTATAAATCTTCATAATAATATCAGATCCACTTTAATATGTTGATTTTTCTAGCTTGTTGCTTCCTGCACAAAGCGACGCCATACATTAAATATTTATGGCTGTTTAAACATGTGAAAGTTGAACATGAAAGGAGAAGAAATGTTACGAAATCGTTATTTGGAGGACTTCGACGGAGCACTATTTGCGCTGTATACGTATATACAGGGTAATATAACAAGCTCCTACAAACAGGCCCTGGTAATTGGTGTATTCAATCTAAGTAAGCGTTTTATTAAATTTAATCAAACGATTGCGTTTTGGTTTAATTAAACTAGTCTTATCGACTCAAGTAAACTGTTTCAACAATCTGAGTTCAATTAAACTAATGAAACATAATTTAAATTTTCCATTGGCTTAATTAAAATTTAAATTGGTTTGATTAATTTTTTTCTTAGTATGCACTAATTTTTGATAGCAGTGCCTGATACATTTTTGTGTATTGAGTCCTCTGTACTGATCCACTGTATTATGAAGTTTTCAGTCATTTCGGATGGTTATTTTCAACATTTTAGACTTTGATGGTTGGAGATGGACAACTTTCGATCGACAGACGCACTTGCAGCCGTATTCG